AGACTGGGCGAATCATTCGTCTTGGAATCTGCAGAACTCAGCACAGAAACAACACATCATGGGGAGGGGCTGATTAATGCTATGTGAATGAATGAGCAAACCAATCAGTCCGTCAAGGGGCAGGGTAGTGGCAGAGCTGTCTTTCTGGGGGAGGGAATCATCTCTACCTTCTGAGGACAGGAATCAGGTTTTGATCACGTCGATAGCTCGGGGCTGATGGGAATAAACAGACTTGTCGATAGTCTGGTGCTCACTTTCCCTGGCAGAATTGCTTCCATAGGAGGGGGAATTTCTTCTGCAGGTCAGACCCAGGTCTCTGCCCCAGAGGGACCAGCAGTGGGAGGTTGTGTTCCATCAGAGGGAAACTTGAACTTTACCAGGTCATGCAGGGAAAGGCGGATGGCATGTCCCTCTTCTGAACACAGGTAAGAGATGGAAACATCTCTCAGAGGTCATCCAGTCTGTCCCCTTCATTCCGTAGGTGGGGATGCTGAGGTGTATGAAGAGGAAATGGCTGGCTGGAGTCACACAGTTAGTGACCCAGGTCCCAACTCGCAGCCCTGAGGCAGACACACAAGTTTGTACCAAGGAGCAAGAAACTCACATCTGATCTGGGAATGAGCTAGAAGGATGTTCATCTCCCAGGCTCCCATGTTACCCCGAGAAGCACTGAGTGGGACGTGGTGAGATGTAACTGTTCTTCCAGGGACGTTCCCTAAAGACACTGTCCTTGTCCTCTCACCTCACGGTTTTGGCTGAATGGACTGTCCTGAAGAAGCAGACATATTTGTCCTGTGACCTCTGATAGCCCACTCCCAACATGGGACCATGATGGCACCTGGTCATTAACCTGTGATACGGAATGACATGATGACTTGGGCCCACAAGGAAAGTAGCAGAAGACACAGGAGTAAAGATTGAGGAGAGGGGAGATTGGGAACACAGGTTCCCCACACCAGAGAGCCAACAAGCTGCAGGTACGAGGAGCAACAATGACTGAGAAAAAGACACTAGAGAAAGACGAAGCCAGGCAAGAGCAATGGACAGAGAAGAACACGAAGACCACCTGAGGAGTGCTCATGAGGGCCCGGAGTGATGACCTGGAACCCGCCTGACCCAGGCCGTCCTCCACGTCTAGTTCCGTAAGGCCAGCTCCTCCAGGGAGATGACCCACCCTTCCTTGCCCGTGTCCTTCCTTACAACAGACAACTCATTTTCCTGAGTGTGGCCTAGGCAGGTCTCTGTCCCTAGCAAGCCACCATGCAACCCCTTCAAACAGCCTGACCACAGTGAGACAGCTCCAGCCTCAGCCACCATTGCAGATGGCATCTTTGATGGCTTGAGGCAGAGGGACAAGGGTCTTAGATTGGTCTCCTAAGGTGCTGGCTGATGCGATTGCTACTGCTTCTCCTCCATTGTCCTTCAGTTCCTCCATTACCTCCTCTTCTTCTATCTCCTTTATCCTCCTCCATCTTTCCCTATCTCCTCCATCCTTCCCCATCTCCTCCATCCTTCCCCATCTCCTCAATCCTTCCCCATCTCCTCCATCCTTCACATCTCCTCCATCTTTCCCCAACTCCTCCATCTCCTCCATCCTTCCCCATCTCCTCCATCCTTCTCCATCTCCTCCATTCTTCCTCATCTCCTCCATCTTTCCCCAACTCCTCCATCCTTCTTCATTCTTCGCCATCTCATGTCCCCGTCCTCTTCCATCTCCTCCAGCACTTCCTCTTCTTTCTCCTTTCCTCCTTCTCCTTCCTTTTCTCTTCCTCTTCATTTTCTTCCTCCTCCTGCCTTATTCCTCTCCTCTTTTTCTACTTCTTCATTTTCCGCCTCACTCCCCTTCCTTCTCCCCATTTCTTTTGTTACTCTTCCTCATCCTCTTCTGTCTTCATCATCCAGCCACTTCCATGTCCTGGGTATCTGAGTTGGACTCACTCCTTTATCATATCACACATCTAATTTCCCCTACAACCCACTAATAACTCCCATTGTATGCCCATTTTACAGAGGGGACAGACCTTGAAATGGCCTGCCCATAGTCACACAGAAAGTTAAAGGGCTGAGCTGTGAGCCTGGGTTTTCTGACTCCAAAATCCACATTCTCGCCTCTGCACGAGGTGAAAGAGACAAGGCCTCTGTGATCCTGGATGGACTGAGCCACACATAAGAAACCAAGAGCAATGAAAAGGAAATCTTCAGACCAAATTGGCCCAGGAATTTATTACACTAACCACATCATTAGCTGACAAAAAGAATCTTCACAAAGCCAGGGAGAAGAGGAAGGGGTGCGTGTGTGGGTAGGGGGTAACCCAGCCTTGTCATAGGTCCTGTCTACCTTCATGTCAAAGCTGCCTCTTAAACAGAGGTTAATCTATTTCCTTTATCAAATTCTCCTGCTGACAGACAATGTCACAGTCACTCATCTGTCTGACCTGAGCTTTGTTCCTTTGGACATCTAGAGGCTCCAGTGCCTTTGAGGCCAGGGGGCAAGATCTTGAGATGGCTCCTCCTCCTCAAGATGTCACATGAGGAAAGTTGGCCTAAGAGATGTGTGATTACTTATTTTAGAGACCTATATTTTCTGCTTATTTATTTATTCATTCTGCAGTGCTGGGGTGGGACCAGGGCTTCATGCATGTCAGGAGAGAGCTCTACCACTGAGATGCACCCCATCTTGGAGACCCTATCACCTTTTGAAAATGACAAAGGAAAAGGGGATCCAGCCTGGCATTTTGATTGAGGGCCTCAGGACTTAAGCTGGTCGTCCTAGCTAGAATTTCCTCGGCACTTTATGCCAGCAAGTCTATCAAGTGTATTTAAACATCAACTATTTCACTTCACCTCCACAATAACTCTGAGACTGGTGCTCTTATTGCACATCCAGGGCATTTTAAAACATGGATACAAATCCTTATAAGCTTGGACTGTTCCATCCAGAGTTGGGCTCTCTGTCTCCTTCCCTTGAAACTGAACAGACGTGGACTGCTTCTATGAGTAAAGCACAACAGAAGTGACACTGCCAAAGTCCCACCTCACTTGCTAATTTGGCTGCTCTTCAAGCTATGAGCTGCCATAGAGGAAACACAACAGCTTGGAAGCAGCCATATTGGGAGGAAGCCCAAGCCACAAGGCAGGTCCACACGCGGGTACGCTACTCAATCTCTCTGCTGAGCCCAGACTTTGACTTCTCCAGCCAGGCACCAGACATGTGAGTGAAGAAACCTCCAGCTCATATCAGAGGTCAGCAAACTTTTTCTTTAAAGACCCTCACAGTTGGGCTGGGGATGTGGCTCAAGTGGTAATGTGCTTGCCTGGCATGCTCGGGGTGTTGGGTTCGATCCTCAGCACCACATACAAATAAAATAAAGATGTTGTGTCCACCAAAAACTAAAAAATAAATATTAAAAAATTCTCTCTCTCTCTTTAAAAAAAAAAAAGAACCTCACAGTAAATATGTCAGGCTTCACAGTCCACACCATTCCTGTCATGACCTCTTAACTCTGTGATTGCAGTAGTACCAAGACAGTCACAGACAATCTAAGGGTGGCTATGTCCCAATATGATTTATTAAAATATCAGATGGTGGGCTAGACTTGACCTGTGAGCTATAATGTGCCAATACAGGAGTTTTCTCAGTTGAATCCCTGGACATCACAGAGCAGAGACACTCTTGTCCCTTTATGGTCTATCCCAGTTCCAAACCCACAGATTTGGAGCATCATACCAGAACGCTGTTATAAACTAAGGTTGGGGTAGCTTGCAGGGCAACTGCCGATAACGGAACCACCCCCATTTTACACATAGAAAAACTGCGGGCCAGAGAGTTTAAATTACTTGTCCAAACTTTCACAGCCAGTAGGTCAAGGAAGCCAAGGCTGGATGCCAGGTTTTCCTGACTCTAGAGGCCGAGGTCACTTATCTGCTAGATTGATGTCACAAGGAGCCAGATGGTGAATGGCTCTGAGCTCTAGGAGTAAAAACTGTGGATGAGGGTGTGAGAGCAAACTGACATCTGGGTTTGGCGAGGAAGCATGGAGGGAGAGATCAGAGATGGGGGAAGGACCCAATTCTGCAGGGATTTGTGGGCTGCAGTGGAGAATCTGATTTGTTTTCTGAAAGCCATAGAAAGCCATTGGATGGCATTTCAGCACAGAGTGACGAGGTTCCAATTACATGAAGAATCACTCTGGCTGCTGTGTGGACTGGGGAGGGGCCATCCCTCTCTAGCCTTCCCGAGAAGTCAGACCGGAAGGTCCACCGCCATCCAGATGCTCAGCCGGGACCTGACTCAAACCCATGACCTCCCCCCGTCTCCAGGCTGATTCGCTCTTTACCCACTTCAAACACAAGGCAGGAAGGGAAAGGGTCCAGAGGGGCCCACTCTTGACAAGCCTCCTGTAGAAGGAAAGCCAGCTAACTGGCCACTGCTCACAGCTCAGGGCCCCTACAGATCTCCGCCTACCAGTCTCCACCAGAAGCTGAGGACCAGATGCCCTGCCCTTAGTCCAACAGATGCTCAGAAAGCCAGGAACCATCTGTGCAGCTCATCCGGGCAGATGGGGAGACGTCTCTCGGAGCAGAACAGGCAGGATCTGAGCCGCCGGGGAAGCTCCCTGGTGGCTTCCGCTCCCATGCCTGGTGTCCCATCCCTGCACACGCATTCATCCGGTTCCCTGTGTCCGCTCTTTAAATTAGACAGACTCCTGGCTTGTGCGTCTGTGTGGATTGCTGGATGCCCCTCCACCCAAGCCCTAGCGCCCACACGGGCTGCCAGGTGTGTGCCACACTCCCGGGTCAACCCATCCTCTCTCCTGCCTACCACCTGGTAGTGCCAGCCCCACATGCCCCTCCCAGCCGATGCCCAGCCTCACCTTGTTGATTTTGTTGGTTTTGGGGAGAGTCTGACTGATGTGCAGGTCCGAATACCGAGGTGGCTTCCGGACAGGGTTGTTGATGTCACACGGGACCGACTCTGTCCGGACCAACCTTGCTGGATCCGTAGGGGTAAAAGCAATGATTTGAGAGTTTAAGTATCACTTTGGTTTTGATCATGCCAGGAGAGCAGAGTTGAGCACCCACCTCGAGGACCCGCCCCAACAGTGGAAGTGACAGTCACTGTGATAAGATCTGGGTGCTCTCTGAGGTTCCTCAACTTTTTGCATTGTCAATTCATGACTCTTGGCAATAAAAATGATTATCAAAACCCCCCAAGCTATTAAGTTCTTTTTTTCCACCCACACCACCACTGTTTCATATTGACACTCATCTCAGAATTGAACCTCCCTTAAAATACAAGAAGGTCCTGATTTCTCGGGGCCTATGATTCACAGACAAGCTCAGGAGACTGCTGTCCCTGCATTCTCTGACCGTCGTGTTAGAATCACCTTTTGTTACTTTCTGGGTTTAGCAGGACTGAGCAGCCTGTTGCACGTCCATCCTTTGTCCCAATAACCACGGAACCCTAAAAGAAAGACTCAGCTCGCCCAGCACCCCCTGGGATCACGCCCAAAGCCACACAGGAAGCTGAGCATACAAGCAATGCTCAATAAATGCGTCTGACTCCAGATCACATCATCAGTCCCCTCTCCCCTTTGGTGAGGGACAACAGGGAGAAGTGGAGAATGAGAACCGGGTGCCTGGCAGTGGCTCTCTGTTAGTTGCGAGGGCGCCAGGGCTGGTGGGGAGGGGGGCGGGTGGAGAAGTTAAAGCACTGACCCAGGGATGTAATTTCTCTGCTCAGCCTGAGCTGTCGTCACCATGGAAACAGACTATTTTCTACTTCCCCCCAACAATGGGGAGAAGGAAGAAACTGGCCAACTTCTAGAAAGTTCAGTTTGCTTGTGCCTGTGGTCTTGGAACACAAGGGGCATGACCGTGAAGGTGGGTGGGAGGGAGCCTTTCTTCAAATGCCAGCCTCTGAGCGCAGGTCACCTTCCAGGTTGGGTCTCGCCTCCACGTGGGAGTCCATGGGGCTCCAGCAGGACCCACCATGCAGAGGAATTGGGTGGGAGGAGAATTCCCCAAGGAAGCTGACCCTCAAGCCTAGGAGCTCAGGGGCTGTGAGGATTCAGGTTTCAAAATAGCCTCACTGAGTGCACCCAGTTACTCCAGGAACAGATGGTTCTTAATTAAGGATGTGGGGAGGGGAAGGAGAAGAAAGTTCAATTCTGTTCCTTTGCTTCTCTCTTCCAGGAGATCAATGTTGCAAAGATCATCAAAAACCAACTGCCTGTTGGCATCGAGACTGCTTTGGGTAGCAATTTGCCTCCTTCTTTAAGTTTCCCTTGGATTTCTTCTAAAATTAGGCAGCTTCCCCTGAGCATGCTCTAACCAAGGCCAGGGATATGGGAGAATGAGGAGAAAAGATCGGATTAGCAGCTTGCTGTACCTGAAAGTCGCTTCCTGGTGGCTCTAAGGTGCTGCTCAATGTCTACATGGGGTGGTGGCCGAGATGCAGCCAGAAAGAATTTTAAATATTTAATGAGTTGCTAACAGTTACAAATAAGAATACGGCCCATAAAACCTCTCTCTCTGGGCTTTGGTGTGAAACATCTAAGGCTCTGGCAATACGGGTCTGCACTGTGCTGGAGTGGCCACGCTCCAGACAGCACGCACCCAGGCTTTCCAGCTGCCATGGCCCCAGGTGGCTAGCTCCTCTTATGTAGGATGCTGGCTTGGCCCTTGCACGCCTCCAAGTTTGCATACAACTCCTGTTCATGAGCAACGCTTTTCAACTTTAAAGGACACGGAGATGCCTTCCAAATACTATTGCAAATGTGGATTCTGATTCAGTAGGTGTGGGGTGGGGCCAGAAATGGTGCATTTCTAAAATGCTCCCAGGTGATCCCAGGCTGCTGCTCCGTGGACTGTGCTGTGAATGGCAAGGGTTTGGACCACGAAGTCCAGGAGAAGTTTCTGCAGTGAGGAAAATGCTCCAATCTGCCCCATCCAATATGGCAGCCACATGGGGCTGCAGAGCTCTTGAAGTGTGGTTGGTGGGGACTGAGTAATTAAATTTGTATTTTAATGTCATTTTAGTTAATCTAAACTTAAATAGTCAGATGTGGTTGGGAGCTACGTTATTGGTCAGCACAGGCCTAGAGAGTCTCCCCAGGGATGAACTGCAATATGGATGATGGAGTCCGAGGATAACGACTCCAAAGGGCAAGAATTGGGGGAATGGAGTTTAAAAACTGGACTAGCAGGCTTTGCAAAGAGTTGGCCCCTATCGAGTCCTTGGCAGGCAGGGGAAATGCCTTTTCTTCCAGCTAAACTGGTCTTGCTTTTGCAACACTGAAAGGCTGGTAATAACCTTCTGGTCTGGTCAGGTTGGTCTAGACACTCCCAGGGCCCCAGAGAGTGACATACAGATGGCCCAAACTAACAGATCTGAGTCACACCCCTCCCCAGGCACACTCCTGCAAGGCCAAAGGATTGAGTGTGGAGAGCACATCATGGACAAGCCCTCGGCCAGCACTGTTTCCAAGAGGGAAGGAAGAGCAACAGAGCTGGGGGAAGGAGAAGACAGCAGAAATTGTGGGAGGTGAGGACAGGGGTGGTGAACCTGGGGGCTGAATATCAGAGGGACCGGGATAAAAGCAAGGAACAGGGAGGACAGACATACAACATGGATAAAGGACACAGCTGCCAGGAAGAAGGTGCCCGGGAAGCAGAAGGTGTCTGGAATCATGCCAGGTGGGGTGGCTATTTTGGGTGGTCTGTAGGAGCACCCCCACCCAGGGCAGCAAGGGTTAAATACTTACCACCCCGGTGGATGATCAGGAGGTGACAGGGCGGGGCTTCTTTGGTGCATTTGTTGTGGCACTTTAACCTGAGAAAGAGAGAGAGAGAGAGATGGGTGGATGAGTGGGCAGGTGAACTGACGGACAGGATGGAGGAGTGAGTGGATTAGAGGAAGGATGGACAGATGGATGGAGGAATGGGTGGGTGAGTGTATGGATGGGTGAGTGGGTAGACAGATGGAGGAGTGGAGGGAGAGGTGAACAGATGAAGGGAGGGATGAATGGATGAGTGGATGAATGGCTAATTGGAAGGATGAATGGATGGATGGATGGATGGATAGATAGGTGGATTGGTGGATAAATGGGTAGATGGATGAATGAGTAGAGGGATGAGAGGATGAATAGATAGGTGGATGGATGGATGGATGAGTGAACTGACAGGTGGATGGATGAGTAGATAGATAGGTGAATGGATAGATTGGTGGGTGGATGGATGGATGGATGGATGGACAGATGAACAGATGAATAGATAGGTAGATGGAAGAATGGATAGATGGGTGGGTGGATGGATGAGTAGATACATGGATAAATGGGTGAGTGGATGGATGGATGGATGGACAGATAAATAGATGAATGGATAGATGGGTGGGTGGATGGATGGATGAGTAGATAGATGGACAAATGGGTGGGTGGGTGGGTGGATGGATGGATAGATGAGTAGATGGGTGAGTAGATGGATACATAGGTGCATGGATGCATGGATGGATATTGAACTGATAGATAGGTGGATGGATGGATGGATGGATGAATCGATATGTGGATGGGTGGATAGGTAGGTGGTTGGTTGAATGGATGGATGGTGGATAGATAAGTGTGTGGATAGATAGATTGGTAGATGGATGGATGGATGGATGGGTAGATTGAAAGATAGGTGTGTAGATAGATGGGTTGATGGATGGATAGATAGGTATGTGGATAGATACAGATGGGTGGATGGATGGATAGATGAGTAGATGGATGAGTGGATAGATAGATATATGTATGTATGTATGGATGGATGGATGGATGGATGAGTGAACTGATAGGTAGATGGATGAATGGATGAATAGAGAGGTGGATGGATGTATAAATGGAAGAATGGGTAGATGGGCAGATGATGGTGTGTGGATGAATACAGTGGGTGAGTGAAAAGGTGCCTCAGTGGTCTGGAGACTCTGGACACTGGTTAGATGTTAGATGGGACAGGGCAGCTACTACAAAGACTGGAACCCAGATAATTAACTGTGGAGAGAGGCTGCTGCCTCCTCAGTCTCTCGGCTCCATCCCGAGTGGTCTAGTAGTGGATAGCAATTGTTCCACCCCAGTGCCCACGTGGACTTGATGCGTTGAGGCACACCCTGTCCCATTAGTCGGTACTTAGTGTTGGCACTGCCATTCTAATGACCATGTGCCATTTACTTGAAGCCTGATTTTCCAGTCACTGTACTAAACACTCGGCATATACAATGTCGTTTGATCTTCATAACAATGTTAAGAAATGGGTAATTTTTTTTAACATTCTCATGTTCAAGGTGGAAAACTTGGGTTAACTGGACTTGATCTGGCAGTAAACCCGGGTCAGTTGTCCCAAAGTGGGCTGTCACTCATCCTGAAGGCTCAAGCTGTAGGAGACTTGAAGCCAGAGCTTCCCATCAGGGTGAGATTAGCAGCAGGTACGGAGAGGTCTTAATCTGAAGAGTTTAGAATCAAAATCCCTTCTTTGAGACGAGCCTATGATGTCACCTTACTTTCTCCCCACAGTTGCCTGAAATTGCCAGGACAATAGAGATGCCAGGTTCCTGCAGGCAACTTCACGCCCCCCCCACGGATTCCCTCATCTTGCTCAGAACCCCAACTTCCAGGAGCCCGTGGCTTCCCCAGGTGATGGCCCTCGGGCTGCCTAGAGGGTCAGTATCAAAACAGAACCTCAGAGATACCATGCAGACAAGTGGGAACTCGGGATCCGTCTTCTCATCTCTTCCCCTCTGTGTTTGTGGGGAGGGCAAACAGAGGAAGTCACTGCAGAGGGTGGCAAGAGGGTGACACAGAAATACAGGGAAATGGAATGGGGAGCCAAGGGATGGGGGCAGGGTCCCTAGGCAAGTGTCACCTGGGAGTGTTTCTCCCAAGAGGCACACTGGAGTTAGGGCACAAGAAAGAGCCTTGGGGGGCTCAGGGGACAGAGGTTAAGGGTCACCCAGGCTAAGTGCAGGAGAACAGAACGGGTGGAGCCAATCTGAGGAGGGATGTGGGTGGGCCCCGAAGCCACGCAAGGAGCCTACATCTGATTCCACAGGTACCAGGAACCCCGGGAGGGTCCGGAGCACTGTGACCCAGCCACACAGGTTTGGGAAGCCCTGAGCTGGGGAATCTGTAGATGCCACCCGGAGTCCATCCAAGGAGTGTCTGCACTCAAAATAGCTAGACTCCACCCTGGAAGTTTCCAGAAAGAAATTCTTCCTTCCTGCCACCTCCACTCAGGAGTCTTTCTAACCAGCCTGGCTGGAAGGGTGATTGGCAGATGCAGAGAAGCCCTCTGCTGTGGGGACAAGTGACTGCACCTAACCTTGGGACCACTGCCAGACCAGGACAGGACAGGCAGGCCCTCCGTGACCTTGGTCTGTTTTCTGCCCTCCCCACCCCTGCCTTCTCCCCTTTAGTCTCTTGCTGCGTGTGTCTTGCAGAAATGGAAAAGCCTCCCTTCACCCCCGGCCAAAGGGAGTGGGACCCGGGACGCTTTCCCTTCCAGCCAGGGGGTTCAGGGCAGCACTGGGCCTGGGAATGAGCCCTGCTCCTGCAGGGACCCCAGGGATATGTCTCTGTGCCCAGGGAGACACTGAAAGCACACACTGGAGTGAGGAACTGGGGCTGCACACCCAGGCTCTGCTGATGGGCGGGATTAGCCCTGTGATGAAGTGACATGGCCCCCGGAGGGAGGGTACGAGGGACCGCAGCCAGGCTCTGGGCCAGGCAGGCAGGGTCCCACTTTTCCAGCTGGGGATGCACATCAGCCCCTTCAGATTAGATCCCCCTTTTCACTGCCTAGGGAAGAAAGAGCATCCCGCACGGTTCTCAGAACACCCACCTGCTGCCAAACCGCATTCCCAAGCCGCACCTTCCAGGGTTCTCATGGGGAAAGTGTGTGTGGGGGGGAATTTGTGGCAGAATGAGTGAAGACCCCCACAGAGTCAAAGGAAGGTACTCTTCTTCCCAGATGAGAGATGTCTGGGAAACGAAATCTTCTAGAAGACAGTGCTCCCTCCAGAAGGAAGTGGGGTCAGGAGAGTATACCAAACCAACCTTGGTTCAAATCCTGAGGCCTCCACTCCCTGGCTGGGACAACTTGGGCAAGGCCCTGACCCACTCTGAACCTCAATTTCTTCCTCTGTGAAGTAGGGACAAGCATCTCATCTTCCTCACAGGGTTGTAGAAAGGACTAATGTTAGGAAACCTAGGACAGATGCTTGGCTCACTGTAGGTGCTCAAGAAGTAGCAGCCACCCTACCTTTAACTCCTCTACTTTCCATCATTACTGCTGGTTTGTGCAGCAGCTCCAAAGCGCACACCCAGACTCATTGCTGGAAGACTTTTTCTCTGGTTGGAAACTTGGGCTGGCTGGGGAACCTGGAGCCCTCAACCAACCATGGTGGGAGTCGGTTGATGAACAGCCCAGTCTCCTCTACCTCGGGTGCCATGATGTCTGCTCGTGGTAAGACTAGACCCCAGCTGCCCGCGGCTGTGACCTGCTCTTCAGTGTACCCAGGACTGGTCGCCTTCTCTCCCCCTGCTTCCCTCCTGCACCCTCTTAATGGTGTGACCTGGGACCACCTCTCAAACACATGCCTTGGAGCCCTTGGCTTAGGATCTAGGGGTCTGGATAAGACACCACGATTATTAAAAAAGATTCCCAGCACCAAAGTGATGCGTCCCATGGCTTGGCCATGCTACCTTCAGAAAGCGTGGAATCTTGGGAGGAATTTATTTAAAACTTTCATTGAAAATAGCTTTTTTAAAAAAAACAAAAAAAAACTTCCAAGGCTTAATAGGATAAGCTTCAATTATGGAGAGGAGCTGCTTGGTTGGAACATCTCATTGCCCCAAAGGAGCCGCTGGCTAAATGAGACATCTCTCCAATGGAAAGTTAAACATGCAAATTCACCTTAAATATGCAAATTTTATCTTAACTATGCAAAACGGGGTCTCTCCCCATTCACATTAACCTGGTGCCTAATGCATGAGGCAAACACTGGAGAGATGGAGAGAGGGAGGGAGGGGGAAAGAAAGAAAATGGAAAGATGGACAGGAGGGACACTGTCCAATAGGGGTGACCTGGGAGGGTCACAGTCTCTCAAAATTCTTGGGAAAATGACGTCTATTTCTTATCATTTGCTTGCCTCTTAGTGGAATGCAAACTACGACCCTCTCAACAGCCTCTTCCCTCTTCTCTCCAGAATGGGGCCGGAGGTAGGATTCGGCCAGAAGCAAACTGGACTGCCATGGATCTTGCCCAGGAACCGTGGGGGACAAATGGCCCCTGTTACGAGAAGCGCTGCTGTTTCCTTAATAGTTTTGTCACAGCCCACGGCGGACACAGGCCCGGAGCCCAGCAAGGAGCCGGGGTCAGGACACTCACCACGTGGAGGAGCGACAGGCCAACTCCTGCTGGGGAGAGTGTCTCATCGACTTCCAATGGTTCCCTGGGGATGCTCACCGACTTATGGAAACTGCTGGGGGTGGCCGAATCCCCCATTTCCACTTTCTCTTAGTCTATCCCAGCTTAATGGCAATAGCCCACCTGCCCTTCCTTACAGAGTTCAAATGCAAATGCTTTCAAAAGCTGCACTGAAACCCAGCTCAGGGGATAACAAGCACCAACATCAGCCCAGAGCTCTGTGCAGCCCACTGACCCTGGACCACAGTGCGGTAAGAGGTGGAGGCTGTTGTGCCCATCCCAAAGCCAAGAAGACTGAGGCCCAGGAAGCAGCCCAAGTCGTACTCGTGGTAAAGGGCAGAGGAGTAGAGACGATTCACTCATTCACACCCACAACAA